CTATTGAATATAGCAATTCGCTAATCCGTAAAAATTCACGGTTTTACTGCACTAGATATTCCCTTGGAGGTCAACCTTACGCAGCCGGTCCCTTTGATTTTCGTCGTGTTGCTGTCGTGGGCAGCTTTGCGGTCTGGATGGTCGCAGAGTGCGATGTTTCCCACCCGGTTGCCCGAGCTGGGGTCCCGTGAGCAAAAGACGCAGCAGATAAAGTCTTGGACTGGCTCGGAAACTGACAAAACTACCTCGGAATATCGTCCGCCATCAAAGATCAAGTTTCCATTGAGCGTGGCCCTTATAGCTGCTTGCTATGCTGGCGACCGTGACGAATTCAAAAGAATACTTAGTTTAGGTATTGATGTTAATACGAAGAACCAAGATGGGATGACGTGCGTCCATCAGGTAGGTGCACACCTCTATTGTGAATTTTCAGTGCTGTATCAACGGGGATTACGACTTCTTAGAATTCCTTATCAAAGAAGGGGCAAATTTAAACGTACAGGACAACGAAGGATGGACGCCACTACATGCGGCCGCTTCCGTCGGATGTGAAGAGCTAGTAAGGTGAGCTTTAAAGCCGCGTACTATAGTCGCAAGTCGACTCGTAATTCTTGTTTACCATATGTATTATAAAGATCCTTATTCTGTCCGATAATTCATTAGGCAACTTGAAAGACAAATGTTCTCATGTGAATGAACCAGCTATAGTCGCTGATAAGTACACCCGACTGTTGTGCGCTTGAATTCTCCGGACTGCTTAAAAACGTGTTACGGAAAGAAGGCGACGGCCAAGTTGCCCAAGTCAAGATAGGAGCAGTCGAGATGCCAAGGTCTGGTCTTCAAGCTACCAACCTCCCAGTTAGTAAGCTCGTGTCTCAACCGCTGGGCTAGTCCGATCTTTTGTTCTTTTGATCGAGGGTCGATCGGAAAAAAACGTACGAATCAGGATACATAGTAACCTGAAAGCGATGCTTGCGATCAATATGGAATTCGAATATCTGAGCGTCTATTCCAGGGCAGTCTTCTTAAACAACTGCTGTAAAATACGAAAATTCTCGAAGACGATGTGCGACGAAGAATGATATCTGAATGGTTATCGCGGTTGTCCATTTTCAGCCACCAATAACCGCTCGCGGACAGTATAGCGTTGGAGGAAGTCTTTGGCTATGTTAACTGGGGTCTAACTGGCCTTCTGATCACAATTGCCTTTGCTGCTGGAAGGGCGTTCAGTTTCTACGTGCAGTGGT